TATGATGTTCTTTAAGGAAAAAGAAAAAAATCAATCTCAGATTCCTCATCTTTAGTTTCCAAAGATAACGCCACATTGGATGATCACGAGCCAGGGTGGAGATGGCATTTCTGTTAAATGATTATGTCACCTTACTTACTATTTTTGAGAATTGGGTGGTCAAATATTTCATGAAAAGGCTGTAAATTTCCTAGACACCACTAGAATAAGGGGTGGAACTCTTGGAGCAAATATAAGCTACTGAAGTACGTTTATCACCTTGGAACTTTTGGTCAAATTTTGTTTAACAGGAAAAGTGCAGAGAAATCAGAAACTGATACTTCATACAGCAGAGAAATCTCCATGTGCATGTTACCATCCACTTTTCTAAATGGCCACATTCAAAAGTCAATGTTATTACCTTGCTCATTTTTGAAGGGCTTTTACAAGCATTTTGGGAAGTATCTGGGGATGGACATTCACTTGTAGTCATGGGTTCTGGATTTTCAGGATCAGGATCTGTAAAGCATAGGAAACCATAGAAAAGGTAAAATTACATGATAAACACTGCAGCGTCAATCCTGCTGTTCAAACCAACTTCTTAGAAAGGCTCTCTCCTTTGATTTTAAAAAGTATTGAAAACAAAAACCATGATAGGTCATCTGCTTACTGACCTTCCATAAGTTCACTGAAAGAAGGGACTGAGCCCTTGGGTTGCAACTGGGGAATGTGATTTGAATGAGATGAAGGTGGAGACGGAACATGACTCGGTGAACATGGGACACATGGTGATTCTCCCCCTAGAGGTGAAGCAGAAGCAGACCCAAAGGGAACATTAGAACTGCAGAGGAGGGTGCGGAGCGATCGACTAGCTGACTCCTTTTTGGGCAAGGAACAAGGTCACTTACCACTATCTTTATCTTTTCGGTGATCGCTGAGAAGCAAAGCTCTCTGGTAACTCCTCTCCCTCACTTGCTCCACTGAAGTTGAGGCAGTCCTTTAAAATCAAATTGTATCATCAGCTCAAAACCTACTGCAGACTACATCATTCTATGTCCCTTGATGGTCTACATATCCCCTTAGACCAAGGCTTTTGCTTTTTGGGGAAAGATACTTTGGTGTTTGTTAGGAGAAAAAAGCTGTTTTCAAAGCTTAACAGCTCCCAGAGCTGAGATTTTTTTTTTTTTTATCCTCATGTATTTCAAAAACTGAAGCAGACACCCAGGAGAGGGGAATTAAAGGAAAGCATTTGACATATAGAATGCCACTTCAGGTTCCCAAGGAACCAAGTATACCCCTTACAGATTACCTTGTGTCTGGACTGTAAGGCTAGCAGGGAAGCTCCCAGGGATAAGAGGGCCACGAAGCAAAGTATGAATGTGAGCTCCTGCCCTTTGCCAAGACCCTCCTAGATCCGGCTTCTTCTATTCCTACTGGAGAAACACTGAACACTGT